GGAGAGATATCACTAGGAGGAGGAAAAGCAAAAAAAAAAAAAAAAAAAAACCCAAAAAACAAAATTGGCATGGTGAGCTTCTTTGCTTGGGCTCCATTGAATGTAGCAAGAGAGAGGTTTTGGATAGGTTTTGAATCTTATAGACTAAATGGGAGACTTTGGGTTATCCTGAAGGCTAGCATATTTCAAGCTATCTATCTATCTATTTTATTTTTGGCCATGCGCCATTGGCAAGATGCATGAGCTAATATGCTCATGTATAAGTGATAAATTGTCACACGCAGTACTCTTACCTTGTGTGATGCACTCTTAGTTTCTATTCTGTTCCATTCTGTTTTATTTAACAGTGGCTGTTGGAAAACACTGTGGGAGCCATTGAAGGGGTTTAAGCAGATTAGTAAAATGAAGAATTGAGGAAGTGGAATAAAAAAACTAGCTTTAAAAATCATTGGCTTCCTATGTGTCCTGTGGAAACATCAAGGCAGAACAATGACCCTGACTGGGTAGAGGAAGTGGGGAATTGGTCAGGCCCTGGAAAGTTCCTTTTAAGAAGGGAGGGATGACGATTGAGTGATGTGTAGTTGACTGAGTGGGTCTTTTCAAAAATTAGGGCATTTCAAGTGCAGAAGTAGAAATGAAGAGAGCAGCATAGGATGTTCTTGGCAGAGCCATTTGCTCTCAGGTGAGCGATGAGACAATGAATTTGGTTGTTAAGGGATTGACAGAAGAAACTGTCCTTACACATTTTTTGTAGTTTTGAATGATTAAATGCCTCGGAAGGAAAACTGCATTTCAAAAAGCCCAACCTCCCTACTGCCCTGTGATTTTTTTTCCCCAGTTCTTTGAGATTTTTATTTAGTAGATGATCATTTTGTTATTTGGGATTAATGCAACAAACTGGACTGAAGAGTAGGGAAAAATGAATCCCAGATATGCAATGCATAGTATTTCCTGATATAACTTTTCCTGATTAAGTAACCAACTATTGGGTTGTCGGGAAAGTCATGATGCATTTTTGTAGAGGAAACAGAAAAATATGTCATGACTTTCCCGACAACCTGTATAAAACCTTTAAAATACTTTTATAGCTCCATTAGTTAGGATTTGTCTGGTTGAATGAC